GGAGTTGATCTTCTAAACGACGGGCCTGTTCCTCCTGCCGGCGGGCCTGTTCCTCCTGTCGGCGGTCCTGTTCCTCCTGTCGGTGGACCTGTTCATCCTGTCCACCCCGCAGCTGCTCTTCCAACCGACGGACCTGTTCCTCCTGTCGGCGAGCCTGCTCCTCCTGTCGACGAGCCTGCTCCTGCAGCATCACCATCAGAGCACCTAAATCAGGTGCTGCAGATGTAGGAGCTACCGACGGGCCTGCAGCCATTGGCTGGCCCTCCGACGTCTGCGGCGTTGCACCACCAAATCTTCGTTGGTCCGTCTCCTGCTGGCGTTGACTTCGGATACGGACGCCCTCCGTTTCCTCCTTAGGTAAAATCGGCATGATTTTATCCCACTTCTGACACCAATTGTTACGAGCTTGAGGTTCGTGACAATAAAAATTGCCGATATAATTACCTAAATTAACACTTTTATTTACTTTACACAAATTAAAACTTAAAACACTAATAATTAAACACACTAATTCACTTTATTTCGCTCAGAAGCTTCGCTTGTCTCGCCAAATCAACACTGCCCCGATCGCATCTTGCAGCGCCTATATATACAAATTAGCAATGAAGCATCCGGAATATTCAAGTAAATGCGCGCAAAGCGACGAGTGTGCGAGTGTAGATTTTCTAGAAACTTAGTTCTTCGGATGGCGCTGTCGGTTGAAAGATTTGTGATGTCATTTTCTGCAAAGCTCCCCTCGCTCTCGTTCCTGACACTAGAAGGCGCTAGTGTATGACGTTGACTTATTCACGCAACACTATTAATACAAACAAATTTATTACTATGAGGAATATTAAACATTTAACAACAAATGTTTGTTATGATAGCCCGGAAACTTATTAAGATAACAAAGTTGTACAATTTTTTTAAATGACAATTATTCATTTAAAAAAATTGTACAACTTTGTACAATTTTAAATGTTTGTTAAGAACAAACGTGAAATGCCAATTTTATCTAAACTTTACTGAGATAACTTTTCATTCTTTGTTCCGGAAAATGAAAAATTGCATGAGTATAAGTATTTTTATTTAAAATATTGCATTTCAGTGAATCTGCTTAGCCAATAAAATGTTTCATGCGGACGTATGAGTAATGTTTATTGAAAGACAGACATTAATAATAAAACTCACTCACTGTTCTATACTTGAAAAATTGATAATATTATATCTAGTGATTTATTTTTGGTAGTTAATGAAAGTTTCCACAGAGTTCACTTTAAACAATCACCTTTAAAAAGTGGTGGGGCTCTCTGCCTAGGAAACCGTCAGTTTTATTACCACAAACATACTCGTCTCTTCTTCCGCTAAGTAGCAGCGCATCTACTGCTATTTTAAAGGTTTAAAGTGTTGGACAGCCTACATAGGAACAATTTGTGAGACAGTATATCCTCTTGAAACATATTATATTCTGTACTAAAGTTCAAAACCAAAAAACATGTAGCTTGACTTGCGGTTTAGATATTATGAAAAAGCTGATAATTAAAAAAATGTAAAAAAACTTTTGTTTGTTTTAAAAACTCTCTTTTGCTTTAAAAAAAAAAGAAATGTCATAATTGTTGTCAATGATTTATTGTCTACATTATTAGATATCAAACGAGTCCTCTTTCGTCTTCCTTAGACTTCTACACATGCTAGCTGTGGCTTAATTAGTACAAGCATTCGTGCCTCGAGGCAAAAAACAAAATGACTGCCATTTCACAATGAAGAGAAAAAATAGGAATAGTGATTTGTCGATAAAACTTACCGTATTCCAACGCCCTGAAGTCTCCAGCGCCGATGATCAGACACATATAGAGTATATTAACAAAAAAAAACTTTACAATTTTGTTTGTCTCTATGTTTTGCCGGGACTTTCATTGGAAGATATCTGATGTTATAAGGAGTAACTTAGGCTATATATAAAACGTTATGACTTGTTTCTCAAAAGCCTCTCACACAAATACATCGAAAACTGAAATGAATAATTTGCGTTCACATGGAATGCGATGTAGTTCTAATTTTTTTACGAAATTATAGTCGTAAGTTTCACGTAAAGGGGTTACTATAATATACTATAACTCAGCAATTATACCGGCGATCCTTTTGCTGCAATGTTGAGGCTGAAGGCTAAGCAACATTGCACTGCGTTGCGCGACAGCTAGACATTGCTACAAACATTTAACGGCCGCTTTAAACAATCTAAGTACACATTGTTTTTTTAGACCTCTTATATTGTATCTTTTATATATATATATATATATATATATATATATATATATATATATATATATATATATATATATCTTATACTTTATCTTATATATAGGTTGCTGTTTTGTTTTGTCTAGCTGCGTAGGTGTCATCCTTTTGTCCTTATCTCCTAAACGGTATCTAACTTTTTTTTCATTTTATTCGAAAAAGAATGAAGAAAGACTCTAAATATAATAATTATACTTTGAAATACATATTGAAAATCTTATAAGATTTTCTTGAAATTGCTTAGATGTCTGATGTAAGAAATTACATATTATATTTACCAGTGTTTAATATGAAGTCATGTCTACTTACATAATATAATCTTATTGAGATGATGTCGTATCTTATGAAATCAATTTATAATATGGTCGTGAATAAATATTTATCGTAACTTACGTAAATAGATTTTTTTTTTCGAAATTTAGTACAAGAACTCTTGCCCGTTACGTTTTAATAATCATACTTAAAAAAACAATGTAGATTATGACGGTAGTATCCACTGCACTGCAACTATCATATCAGAATAAATAATTACAGACAAAGCGTAAATGCACATACTCGAATGTGTAGACATTTTTCACGTCTTCGTAATATTTTGGACTTCTCAATCACGCGAGGTTCTCCCCGCGCTAACTAAATCAGCAGTTTAAATTACAATAAAAAAATAAAAATTACTGCTGTTAACGGGAATCTAACTTGGTTTGTAGTAACGTAATATGAAATTTAAGGGCGACCGCTTATCCCAACATTTACCTCGATGGTCAGCGAAAGTGGTTAAATAAATTTATAGCCTTTTACGAGAAAAATATCCTCCTTACTGCCTCTTACATATCATCAGAATGCATTGAGTGCATGTGAGATTGGTGTTTGAGGAAAATTTCACACATCCTTGTTATTATTTTTATTAGGTTCCGATTTAGAGGTTCAAATTTTAAACCTACTTTGTTTCCCAATACCGCCTGTTATACGAGACCCATAGGATGATATGGAGTAATAGATATTCTTACACCGCCACAACTTGGTCAAATATATTGTTATTTACTTTGACCACTTCGAAAAATCTCTGTTCATGGAATTAGCAAGAATCCCAGCGGGACTTTTTCAGTATAACATTTTAAAAAGTTTTTTTATGTGATATTATTAGGTAAGTATTATGGACATATTTATAGGTATCTCATCATGATACAATAATTGGTACAATACCTATGTATATCGATACAATTCTCTAGTATATATATTCCTCCAGATTATATATACTAGAGAATTGTATCGATACAATAAACGTTACGAAAAGTGACAAAAAGGCAGTTTATTTTTAATTTTTAAATCAAAAATATTCAGACCGGAGACAGCGATTTCTGAGCTACATAGATAATAACTACAGTACGGTTATTTTAATTGATTATAATTGCGGTAGTCGACACCATAAAGCTACATAGAAAACTATTCAAAGCGAAACAAAAAAGTTAAAATTATGTTTAATATTATTAAATATTGTAGAAATGGCTGGCCAGCAAAAAATGATCTAGGTGAAGAATATGAACCCTATTTGTCTGAAAAAATGATATCTCTATAGAAAGCAATGTATGTTGTTGGGGTATAGGGTAATAATACCTAAAAATATAAGAAATTATGTCATGTGTGAGTTACATGCTAGCCATTTAGGCACCACACGAATAAAAGAAATAGCAAAGATCTTATTTTTGGTGGTCAAACATGGAAATGGAAATTATAACAAAAAAAATGTATTATTTGTTTACAAATCTATCTTTAAAAAATGGCTCATCCAGCAATCTTTTACACATTTAAAGACATCTTTGCGCATAAGTAGGCGATACTTTTAAGAGTTTTTCACAATGTTTGAAATAATGTTTGAATTATGGCATTTTTATAAATTGAAAATTTTATTTATTTAATTAGTAAATTAGATATAAATATAGAAATAAATTAATGACAATTGTGTATGTAACATTTATAATTGACTTTATATAATTATTGACATAAGGATATGATCTTTCGACATTGAGCTATAATAATACTTATACATCTTATTATCATTTTTTTTCTGATACTGTTACGTAATTAATTTATTAGCAAATCGACTCAGTAATGCTGAAAATTTTTGTGTTGTTAAAAATTCAATAAGTATTGTTGTATAAGTTTTTTTGACAATTAATATTTGCACACCACTGAGGTAGAATATGTAGAACGAATTATACTCGAACACCATTGTACAACCATAATCTTGCATATAAAGATTATTTTTATTATTAAATCCATAAGAACCTAGAAACAACTATATTAACCCGGCGAGCATGAGGTTAAAAAAAGTTACATCGAGAATGTCCCACATAACCATAATTTAATGTAACATATTTAAGTTCTTATTATTATTATCCTTTAATTAGTCGCGTGGGGTCCATTGGACCCCAAGATCCAATTTTTTGCAGATTGTTTTTGTCATATTTCGGCAAATATTACACTTACGCGGTTTCACGTTTTAGTAGCTTCCTACTCACCCGCCTCTCCTGTCTCCGTTCTCCGTGTTCCGCAAGCCGGGCGTCAATCACACGTGCCGTACGGAGGTACTTGGGGTCTAACGGACCCCGCGCGACTAATAGTGTTGTACAAATTCGGTAAGTATAATGATGAACATTTCATCTCACAATATTATGCAAACTTGTGTTTCATAATTATTTGTTAAATTTTACAGGTTAAAGAACACAATGGCAAGCCGCCACTTGAATTTAGAGCAAATATCAAATCTGCTAAATGAAGATGAAGAGGAGCCATTTGATGAAAGCGACGATGAGTTAGGCATCGGAGAACACTTAGCTGAACAACAAAATGATAATTCTGACTCTGAGCAGAGAGAAACCGACTCAGAAGATGAAGCAGGGCCATCTTCATCACAATATTATATAGGCAGGGACAAGCAAACCAAATGGTCCCAAAACTCTTCAAACCAAAGAATAAAACAAGAGCTCTCAACATTGTTTTGCATTTACTTGGACCAAAGGGAGAAGCTAAGAATGCTAAGAGTAAGACAGATTGTTTCAATTTATTTTTTGATAAGAATAGAGTAGATTTAATTTTAAAATATACAAATGAATATATTGATAAAATACGTACACGTTTTCAAAGAGAACGTGACGCAAAAAATTTGACTAGCGATGAATTAAATAAATAGATGAATTACAAGCATTTTTTGGATTGCTAATGATGTCTGGTGTTCTCAGATCTTCACATCTGAATTTTCTTGATCTTTGGGCAAATAATGATACTGGAATAGAATTTTTTTCTGATGTGATGTCTTCTCGACGTTTTCTGTTTACACTTCGTTGTCTACGATTTGATAATGCATCATCGAGAGAATCTTGATAAATTGATTGAAAGGCTTGATAAATTGGCACCAATCAGAGAATTTTGTGATCTGATGGGTGACAACTTCAAAAAACACTACACGGTTTCCGAGTACGTTACAATAGATGAACAATTGCCAGCATTTAGAGGACGATTCTCTGGTTTAGTCTATATGCCAAGCAAACCCAACAAATATGGGATCAAACACCATGTTATGGTTGGTTGTGGTATGGTATAGTTTTTATTTTTTATTTTCTTGGATGTAGGTGTTCGTAAATCATTGAGAAGCCCAAATTACGAATGAATTCCGTTCTCTTGATTGTGACGTTTTTGTTTGCTCGATATATAATGCAAGCATTGATAGCCGCCATGTTCAATACACCATATAATAAAGTCCCCATCATTTACTGTTGCGACTAACATAACACAGTATAAATGATAAACAACAAATTTATGTACTAAAATCATAAAAAAAAAACTAAAAAAAAACAATCATAATTCATGATCAAATCATTGCGTAAAAAAATACGTCAAAAATGAGGCAGGGTATAACATACCCGAGACAGGTTTGCACACGAATATACCGGCCAGTATCCCACGCCACACTGCGATCACTACACTAACCTGCCCCACGCGCCCAGCACTCCAGCTACTGAGCGAGTTAGAGTTTTCAGGCGAGGATTTTAAAAAATACACTACCTTGAAATTTTATTAGGGTGTGTGATACCCTGGCCCATGCTCGCCGGGTTAACAGTGCGGCTTTTCTTTATTCAAAATGTTTTTAGTTATTATAGACGCTTACTCTAAATTCCCATAAGCATATGTTATGAATAAAATTACTGCACAAAAACAATTAAAGTATTCAAAAGCATTTTTGTAAGATACTGGTATCCCTATCATTTAGTTATTGATAATGGTCTGGACAAGTGAAGAATTAAAAAAAGTGGAATTGTGAGAGTAAGCCAGACATTTACTCCAATATACTACCTATCCGCAAATGGATTAGCGGAACGTTTTAGGAGTCTTTCAAATCACATGATGTAGAGAATGGTCATACGGTTGAACATACATGTAATATATTTCTATTCAATTACTACTGTACATAAAAGCACAGGCTGGAGTCCAGCAAAATTGATGTTTGGCAGAGAGTTGACATGTCGTTTCTCATTATTAAGATCAAATTCAGTTGTTGACAAAACTGATACTGAGCAAGTATAGCTCACAATTAATAGAAAAAATACCTTTAAAACATACACAACTAGTAAAAAAGTGAGGGTGAGAAATCATAGAAACAATATAAAATAAAGGTCTTTGGGTAAAATACTTGAAGTTTTAATACCTGTTGTAACTTATATGGTAGATGTGGATGGACTTTATTGTAAACGACGTCCAAATCGATTATTGAAATGTGGACAGAATTTAGAATAAAAAAAAATAAACTTTTTTTCTCTTATAATAAATAGAAGAATAAAATATTTTTAATATCTTACAATACAAAAAAGCAAAATATTTTTGGTGGTTTATTTAGTTTATTACATTGTACCAAAAAATTAATAAGGAGCGTAAAAAGTTTTTTTTCTACTGTGTGGTAGGAAAGTGCTATATATTTACAATGTAATATTGTGCGCTCTTGGGTGTTTAAGTAAAAGGCATGTTACTTGTAAGACGGCCCAAAGTACATTGTCAGAAAGACGGGTTGGAATTAATGTTCTAACCTTCGATCAAGAATACTACTAGATTCCCGATAAGCGCTTCAAAAACGGCCTGAAAAATAGGACCACAAATACTTTTGTGGTCTTATTTTAAATTAGTATGGTCCTATCATAGGCATTTTAATGAACATTGAAATGTAATATCAAAAATAAAATAGAGTAAGCACGAAATTGTTAACATAATATTTTTAAACTTATCACTTAGACTTTAAATTTCATTTTAAAATAAACATTTGTGTACTTATGACTTTTTATATTTAAGCGGTATGTTTGTCGGATGCCATAACGTAAATAAACATATTTTGCAATGGTATTTAAACTTTATTGTATATACTTTCATATTAACTGAAGTTGTTAATATTTTTAATCTTTTTTCTATATTTCATAGTAAGAAATATAGATGTTTACGTGTACGCAAACGTGGCCACTTGAGCGACTTATTTTTGTTCCTGATCCTTAATCTAGTATAATCATTGATCGAAGGTTCTAACATACAGTTCACACGCGAAGGAGGGATTGCCGCGTAAGCTGAATTCTACACGTCCGTGGAAGCGAGTCCGCGTTTACACAGCCGTGGGACTATTTTCTTGCTTACATTATTTTTATCATATTACAATAATCTTAAAGGCAGCACTAGTTGTTGTCTCTGGTTTTGTTTATGGTTATCTGTTAGTTGAATTAGAAGTAATAAAAACCTTTTCGTTAACGCGTGGTTTTATAATTACCTTTCCCATGGTTAAAGTTAGATATAACAGTCTTGATTCTACCAATGCGTAGTAAACCAATTTTAAATGTTAAAGGTTTGCTTTATCCCGAAAATTTCATAGTACGAAACAAACTGAACTTATATTACTTGCAGTCTCCTCCAATTCATGTTTACACTTCTACAGATTGTACTATTTTATTACCTGTGATATTCAGAGTTGTGTTATTTCTGAAGTTATTGCGGAATAACATAACATATGTTTTGTTAGTGATGATCGACAGGCCGTTTGGAGTAAACCATATTGTCATAGATTGCAATATTTAGTTTATTTTCATTTCTTAAAGTCGTTATTTCCAAGGCTGAGTATTACTGTCATAAAATGCAAAATAAATCTGCAATGATAAAGACATATTTCCAGCTGTGGGCTGTTATAATTTAATAGTAAAAAAGGTTTTTAAAACAAGCTTTCATATAAATGCTCTAAAAAGAAGAAAAAAACTTTAAAATATATCAAATCTGTCTGTTGATCTGAATGATCAAAACTGTCGCAAGATTTACCTATTTTATACAAAACATATTACGCGGATGTCATTTTTTGTTCATTGTTATCATCATTTGAATCTATATGATCATTTGATATCCATATCGTGGATGTGAATAACCGACCATAGCCAGGCATCTTTGGAAGTCCACCATATAAGATTTAGAGTAACATCGTTTTATTTTTTGTATTCTTCCCAGCAAACTTGTTCATACAATACCCATATTATAAGAGTGTATAAAAACACTAGTCCGCAATTTTGGTCGGTCCACCATATTGGATTTAGAAGACGTCACTTAGCTAGGCGTACTTTCAAAATTCAGCTGCTAAATTACACCCGAACAATTCAACCCCAAAATTGTTAGTTAATGGAGTCCGCACCTCCAAAAACTCTGGGATAACAAAATTACAGAGGGATTAGACAAACTAAGTTTTTGATCACCAACTTAGATCCATCATACTCAATTTTTTATGTCAGCAGTCGACCCTTGTTTTTCCCTATAACATTTGTTCGAGCACCACCAAAGAATTCCTAACCTTTGCCGAGTTATTATTCTTTAAAATTGGTATGGCGGCCAATTCGTTTTCCATCTTTTTTAGCCATGGCCATATTCCAGCTCTATCATCAGATCAACTATATGTCATAATGATATTGTATTGTCACATTAGACGTCCGCAATATTGGATAAAGAATGACGCCGCTTTCTTTATTGTGTTTCGCTTATCAAGTTCTTTCATTTGATGCCTATACCATTGGGGTTGCTGTGGAAATGATAAATCACTGTTTTGTCTACCATATTGGATTAAAAATGGCGGCATTTAAGTAACCATGCATTGTCACAACAATCAAACGTGTATTTCATATTTTATCCCAATAGCTTCAGTGATGATGAGTAAAATATTGATTGCAAAATACCGGAACATACATAGAAATGAAGTTAAATAAAAGCTTTTAAAAAGAAATAAATACATAGACAAATATGAATAAGCGAATAGGTTTTATAACATTTTAGTGACGTGTAAAATATTTTATATAAATTTAGAATGTGTTTCAGTGTTCATTTCTATAGGACTCCACATGTCTAATCACTAGTGTATCCATTAATGTATTCACTAGTTTTTATCCGAGTAAATACTTTTTGCCACTGAAAAATACGACCACGTTGTACTTAGTACCTGAAAATAATAATACTTTTATTATAAATTACTGTAACAATAAGAAATTAAATTCATTAAAAAAAATGCTGCTGTGTTTCGTATGATGAGTGTAGAGAACAGGAGACCCGTTTTACTGGAATCGAGGCATTCCATCTTAGTCCTCAGGGGTGACAACGCATCTGCATTTTGATTCTTAATCTAAGTTAAATGTAGACATCTACGGGAAACAGCAACCACTTACCATCAGGTGGACTGTGTGCTCGTTTTTCACCTAATCCTATAAAAAAAAAACCTCAATAGCATTTTAATTCTTAATTGGAGGTAGATGTGTGAAGATCTATACTAAGGTTTGTATACTTATGGTTGTAGCATAAATGGGTCAGCTCGATCGGGATACAACTTAATGCTACTGTGTTTTGTATGGTTAGTGTAAAGAAGCGGAGACCCTTTTGACTGGACACGAAGCATTCCATCTTAGAGATTAAGGGTAAAACGCATCGTTATTTTGATTCTCAATCGAGAATAGATGTATATATCTATGGCCCACAGTGTTTACCAACCATCAGGTGCAGTATATGTTCATTTTAACCTTATTTAATAAAAGAA